GTGCGGTTGGCGCAGGATAGAGCAGGGTTTAGAGCTGTTGTGCATAGGGTCGCTATGAGTCGGAAACGACTCGATGGCACATAACAACAACAACATTTTCCATTGAGTTACCTGCAACTCACACAGACTCAATAACAATAGCTATTGTCTGAACCCTGCCCTATGCTCTATTATATACAGGGTTTTCAAAGGCCTGTTATTTCCAAAGTGGATGGCTGAAAGGGTCCTGTGAAGGTCAATGTCACTAAGTTATTTCAGTGTTCTGTATATGACCTCACTTTTTAAAAATTAAGAATTTCATGAATCTACAAAGGGCTGCTAAGGAGTAAGGATGCCACTTCAAAGACTAAGATGCAAGTGACTCAAGCCATGGTATTTTCAACTGCTTCCTGTATAAAAGTTGGAAGTGTACAAAGAAAAAAGAACTGATGTCTTTGAGTTGTGTTGGTTAAGAGTATTGAATATACCATGGACTGCAAACAAAACCCTGACAAAGTTGTTCTGGATGAAGTGCAGTACAAGTGCTCCTTGGAAGCAAGGACAGTGAGATTTCACCTAAGTGGTACATATTCTCAGGTGGGGTCAGTCCCTTGGAAAAGCAGAAGATCACTGTAACAGAAGAAGACCTTCAAGGAGCTGGCTTGACACAGTGACTTCAACAATGAACTTCAGCAGAGCAGAGATTGTGAGAATGATGTAGAACTGGTGAGGGCTTCCTTCTGTTCTATAAAGGCTGCAAGGAGGCAAGCCAACTAAGTGACACCCGTTAACAACACCACAATGTACAAGCAAAGCTGAAATCAGATGGTTCGCCTGCTCTACTTTATTACTGTTAATATTTATGTCACCTGATGGCAATAACTCTATGATGGAAATTCTGTAACAGAAATTCACTAGGTTGCATGAATTCTATTCAAATTCTTTCAAACTCTATTGTGTGTGAAAGGGAAAAAAAAGGACAGAAAAAAGATTAGACTAAAGAGCTTTTCCTAATACTGGCATTTAGTCATAGAAAAAGCCTGAGCTTGTCGGCTGAAGTTCACTGCTAGCTTTCATTCACTCTGTATGGCATCAATACATTAGGACTTACAGATTTTAATTCTTTAATAATATTTAATTGTTGATATTATTGTAATATGTCATCAAGTCGTCTGTGACTTGTAAGTGAAAGTACGTACAATAGTTCTGAACCCTGCCTTATCCTGAGTCGTTCTCATTGTCTCCAACACATCTACCCTCATTACCCCCGTTACGGAGTCAATCTCATCCAGCGTCTTCCTCTCCTGTGCTGTCCCTCCACTCTTCCAAGCATAATATCCTTTTCCAAGGACTGGTCCCTCCTGGCAACATGGCCAAAGTATGTGGGACAGAGCTTCCGAATCCTTGCCACCAGAGAGCAACTTGGTTTTACCCTCTCCAGGACATACTGCTTGTTCTCTTGGTATTCCATGGAATGCTCAATACTCCTCCCCTGCACAACTCCTCAAAGGCATCAATTCTTCTTCTGTCATCCTTATTCATTGTCCAGCTCTCTGATGCATAGCAAATAACTGTTAAATGATAATTCAAAACAGAGACTCACAAACAACAATAGTTGAAAGTGTTTGATTTTCAATTCACTCAACAACTTAAGAGCTGCTTTGACAAGCTAGGAAATTATCACTGTTAAATAAAGGAGCAAAATCTCTTTTCATTTCTGCCTACTCCCTTTCCCTCCACTCACAGAAAATTCTCATTCATAAAGGTAAACATCTGGGAAAGGAGTGCAGACACAGGAGATGATTATACCGGCAAAAGAACTGATCTGAAAGTCTGAAAAGTTGTTTTGTTCTGGAGTGTGCCATAACTAGGTGTGAGATTTGAGCAGGCCATTTGTTCCCTGATGTAAATAAAAAGCTGTGGACTAGATGCCCTGAGCACCTTCCCGCTCCGGTCGGGGTGCGGGGAGAGCACAGAAAGTTGGACAGAGTTGTATTCCTGCTGCAATGATATATGTGCACGGCTGGTGGTTCTGCCTAGGAGAAGCAATCCTCTCCCTGCCAAAAGAATCCAGGACCCACCACGGAGGGGTGGAGAATGAGGCCCAGTAAATTTTACACAAAGCTCATTCATTGAGTAATTTGAGATTTCATTTCGAATTGGGCTCCCACAGCACATTTGTGATTTCTGTTTGGAGTCCAAAAGTTATCCAGTAACATAGAGTTTCTGGTGTTGGCTGTCACCATGGTGAGATCCATTGACTCTACCCCATTTCCATATAAGGCCGAGTCAGCCAAGTGCTCAGGGTGTGGGGAGTTCTGCAGTCAGGGCTTTTCATCATTGCTACAGAAGCACCATCGGGAAAATACATTTCTATCAAGGGACCTCAGAGGAAGCTGTGGGAACGAACAAACAACACATACAGCTCTTTGAAAAGCAAAATCTGTCCAACTGCTATTTTTACATATTACATTACTTTTAAGAAAATATTATTAACCTAGGCAGGGCGAAAATAACACTACCTTCTCTGCAAATACATTTGAGTAAATCTGCAAATAAATGTTTAACACCTATAAGTAAGTCTTGTACTGAAACAAGAGTTACCTCCTAACAAATGCTTTCATACAGTGTTGACAATTGTCCTAGCAAGGGATATCTTCAGAAACAGAATGGAGGTTCTTTATGGAAAGTGGTGGGTTTTTTTTTGTCTCCCTTCACTAGGCTTCTTTATTACCTTTCACTGTCAACTGCCTGCATCATCTCACTGATTAATATCCCGTGTGGCACACCTGGACCAATGAGGAGGTCTTGCATACTGACTGTTCAAATAACTCAGCGACTGGATCATTATGGTCCCATCCCAGCACATGGCGAGGCCCCCTTCAACAATGGTGAAGAGTATCACACAGCAGAAAGCAAAATGTAGATGTAGAAATATTTCAGGGAATCTGAGCACTACAGACAGTGGATCCCATAACACAGGTTACAAATTGGGGTATCATTTCACAGCATCTCTTGAGCAAAATGCTTAGACATTTGCCAGATCTCAACTTAATTAGATTGCTGTTGATAACTTGTCTGTGTAATTAGAGGAAAATAAAGTCCATCTTGGGTTTTGGATTACTCCTGTTAATTACACCCACCAGAAAGGTTTCCATTTTCTACTTTGTTTGGCTATGTATAAAAACAGACTCAAAGTCTTGTCTTAATTAGAACAACAGGAAATAAAGAAGGTTTTAATATCCAAACTAAAATAAAGAGATTAAAGGAACCTTCAAAAATTCCCTTAAAAGGCCTTTAAAATAACTGCTATGAAGATAACATTATATACAGAATCGAAATAAGCCATTATTTTTTTAATATTGCCTTTAAAAAATTGGTTCATATACATTGTGTTTCACCTTATTTCTCATTCATATTGTGTTTCATACAATCATTCTCATTCATTATGTTTTATAAAATTAATCACCGCTGGACCTTGCCCATCATTAACCTGTCTTTTCACCCAGATCCTTCCCATTTATTTACTCAAGGGAAAAAAAATTATTCTTAAGACATCATGAGAAATTTTAATATATTGGTTTTGAATTAAACGATCAAAAAAGTAACCAAAAACAGGCCTATGGCCTAAGGGTGCTTGGTGTGTGTTTGAGTGATTACATAGAGAAGAATGCGGGGAGCCACTGGAGTCTAAGTCCATCGCGCACAGAGGAGTCTTACACGTTTTGGTATCGCACTAACTTATTTTCTTCATATCTGTACAAAGCTGAGTTAGTTATGTGCTAGAGAATGGCTAGTTTGAAAGTATCTGTGACAGCAGCATTACAGACAAAAGCTATAACAAGAAACTCCAGGGGAATCTGACATGAAATGGCTTCTATATGTGGTGAAAAAAATACTCATCTTTGTGAAATGTTGATAAATTAACCACAACTATCAATTCCTAATGCATAAATTCTCCACATAGAGAAGTGGAATCTTTTATTACAATGGAAGATAATTATTTTGAAGATTGTTAAGTCATGGCAAACATAGAATATGGAGAAGGAAGCTTTGAACTGATGGCAGACAGTCTCAGACTATTGGGGTCATTTCTACTGAAATAATATTTAGTGACATGCTAGTTAAATAAGGCCAAAACATTTCTAAAAAATGTTTCTTGTGACAACTTTATTCCTATTAGTTTTATTTTTTTGAGGGAACCAATCAGTTCAAGATGTGTAGGCACAGTTACACAACTAGCAAAAAAGGGCTCCAGGTAATAAGAGACGACGGTTCCTCTGCATAGTGGGTGGAAATGACTATTTTACAAACTGACTTCATGATTCAACTTAAACTAATTTGGAACACCCTAATATTGTTGTAACTTATGGCTAAAGCTAGCAGGGCAATGCAGACAAGAATTTCAAATTGCCTCTCACAATGTAACATTTGCCATTGCGGAGTATATAATAAAGAAAAATCTTTACAAAACTTCTTTATAATCTTCATAATAAACAAAACATTTTTTAACTAAGGGTCTTAATAACTGAATTCATTTAACCAGGAAGTTTAAAGATGCTTTCATTTAAAAAAGAAGTGTAAGAAAGAGAATATTTATTGTAAAAAAAATCAACAAGTATTGCTGCCAGCTTGTCTGTTAGAGCAGAGGTAATGCTGTGACTTACACGTCCTCCTTTCTCGGGATAACACTGGCAGCCCCCACTGCAGTCTCTTCCTCCACAGGCCGCACCATACTTCTTCACACCCTGAAAAATATAACCGAAACACACAAATTACTTACAAATATTTCCAATGACAATATGGAACGTAAGAATTCCATTTGTTGAGAGTATCCTCCATTCTAATAACAAACTGTTGTTATCATGTGCCACTGAGACAGAACCAATTAATAAATATGCTGACTCTCTGGTGGGTTTTCAGAGGCTGTTAATTGCACAGGAGAAGACTTCCCATCTTTCTCCCAAGGAACAGGTGGTAGATTTGAACTGCATGCCTTCAGGTTGGTAGCATAATTCCTTACCACTAAGCCACACGAGACTGTTCATTCAAAATAGTGGCTAAATCTTTTTAACGTGCTTACTGAAGGGAATCCAATGGCTAACATGCTCAGGTGACAACCCAAAATTTGAAGGTTTGAATTAATTTACAGCCCACACAAAATACAGACACAGTTATCGATATCTTAAAAGCCATTTGTTGAAAAACACCAGAACACACACGTGTCCATGATGTTAGTTGTCAGTGATTAAGTGGTCACATGTGGCAAGTGGTTAAAAATTGTAAGTGGCCTGAAACCCACAGC